GTAAATCGTCTCTTGGGGTGAGTATGTTGGTCGTGAATCGGGACACACACCAAATTGCAAAAATCATACACAAAGTGATCTAGTGATCCGCATATCCAGATTAATTTATTGTAAATTATTTGCGTTAAATATTCCCTTCAAAAACAAAAAGGAGTATTGTAATACTTTAATATTGGGATTTGGTTTTAATTAAAACATGAATTCAAGCTTGGTAATGTTGATTCCACACGTAGCTAGGGAAATAACTGAGTGAATCACGGCCGAATGTTTGTCTTGGCCTACCTAGTGGAACACAAGTATCCAACCTACTCCCTCCGTTTCTTTTTGTTTTTATGTTTGGAATTATTTTGTAAAAAATTATTTAAAAAAATTGAGTTATATTGACATAAATTCAATTATTGAAAATACAAATTTAGTTAAATAAGGAATATTATACATGTGGGGTAAAAAAGTAGAAAGAAAATACTACCTCCGTTACATATTATTTATAACGATTAGACATTTTTCCTCTCTACTTTATGTCAAATCGTTGCAAATAATATATATGTAACGGAAGTAGTATAAGAGATACAAGAGAGAAAGTAATAATGAGTATTGAAATCGATTAAAATATTATAAAAGGTGATTAGGGGATTTTTATCCACCAAGCGCCGTTTGACAAGTGGACCAACCAGGTTCCGCCACGCGTCCTCCACGGACCACTTAAGACACGCCACGTGTCCACCCATGCCAAATGGGACAACCGGCCATCAAGGCCCATTTCAGTCTAGAAGCCCGATCGGCCCTAGGTTTACCTTAAACCTAGAGAGTTGCACGCTTCCCAAGGCTATAAATACTCGATTAATCCTCATTAATCAAGGGACCGAATAATTAACGGAACGGAGGAGAAACATTACGGAACACACTAATAACCGGCTGATCTCGCTAGCAAAGCAGATTACCTACATTAAATACTCTCACCTAGAGAGACCTTATTACTTTAATTTCTGTGTTAATTACTCCTTAATCAGGTACTAACTTGACCGTTGGAGGCGGAGCTCTCAGGAGTCTCCGTTATTTTGCAGGTACAGGCGTCCGGTTCCAGTCTCGGAATTGTAGCTCTCCCGCAGGACATCAGAAAACCCCAAAACATTTGGCGCCGTCTGTGGGGAGAGTACTTCAGAGATGGCATCCAAGTCTGTACCGACCCCAGAAGAGAGGCGTCCCCTAGACGACCCTCAAGTTCAGTCGGACCATGATACCGAAAGTGAATTTGAAGTTGAAACTCATACAGCTCCAGACGGGACCCTAAGGGCCCGCCGTACCCGTCATACTGAAATAAGGGAACGGGAGTATCTTCAAACAGGAAGCGAGCCAGCAGGCGCACCGCTTGCTCGGCAACAGCCGACTGATGGGTCTGCTCCCATCACAAGGAACGAACTCATGACCTTCATGAGGGGATTCAAGGGAGAGATCCAAGAGTTGATCAACAAAAAACCGCCTGCTTCAGTCAAAGAGCAGGCGGCCAAAAAACCTTCCACTTCACTGAAGAGGAAGCCAGTTCAAGGGGGAGAGGCGACTCCCCATCCTAAATCTAAGAAGCGGGAGCCGTCTGCTCTTGATTTCACAAAACTCCGTTATCCTACGGGAAATAGGAAACCGGGTACCAGCCGGCCAGACGACAGTATCTTCTGGATCCGGCACAAACAGTAAATACTCCGGGCTCATTTTGTGGTTAGCAATAAAGCTCGCCACGTTGTCTCGCATGGTTGCGATCCGGCCCCGGGGCACCCTGCAGTAGTAGGGGGTGTTTTCCTCTCTGTAAGAGGCGGACGGCTCTGCCCAATTATCCCCCTTCTCCACTGCATGGGAACTTCTCGCCTCTTGTAGGCGGTTATGTTTTTCTTCTGAGTCAGAAGAACTATGGTCAGAAGAACTATGGTCAGAAGAGCTGGAATCGGACTCGTCCCCTGACGAGTCCGAAGAGGACGACTCCTCCCCTCTCCTAGAGGGGCCCGCCTCCTCTCCCTTAGAAGGAGCAGAAGGTAAATTAGACATGTCCACGGTTAGATGAGAAGGGAACACCTTGGTCCCTCTCTCAGAACTGTCAGCTTGACAGTCGCCTCGTTCCACATCTGGCGCCTGGTCAGATGTTTCGCTAAGGAGTACCCTTTGGGAGGAGCCGTCTGAGTTTGATATTCTAGCAGTCTTTTTTGTTCTGGCCATCACGTTCTGCATAGACACAGATTCAGTCGGACTTTGTATAAAGGGCAAAGATGGGTCCAGAAAAGGGCAGGCGGCACTCCTAGTCCTAGATTCAGCCGTCCCCGGTGACCGGCTGATCACTAACTTAGGGCGTGTCGTGTGCTTCCATGGTGCCATTTCAAAAAATAAAAAGAAAATTAAGAGTAAGAGAACTGAGTTACCTGAACGGATGACAGTTGATGAAGTCCTGAAAGTTCGGGTCAGTCGGCTTGTCAGAACAGGCGGTAGGCAGAAAAAGTCCGAAAATGTCAGATCAAGTTCAGGGGTCCGAATGTTCTCGCAAAAATTCTCAAATGTGAAAATGACCGAAGTCAGCACTTCCTTTTATAGGCAAAATGAGAAGGCGAAGGGTCGCTTCCGAATTCAAATTTGGGCGGGAGGATCTCCCGGCCGTCTGCAAGGTGACACCTGTAACGGGCCGTCGCCTGTCACCGTGCGACACCTGTCACAGGCGACACGTGACCAGTCGCGTGCCACCTGTGAGGGGCAAATGATTAGGGGATTTTTATCCACCAAGCGTCGTTTGACAAGTGGACCAACCAGGTTCCGCCACGCGTCCTCCACGGACCACTTAAGACACGCCACGTGTCCACCCATGCCAAATGGGACAACCGGCCATCAAGGCCCATTTCAGTCTAGAAGCCCGATCGGCCCTAGGTTTACCTTAAACCTAGAGAGTTGCACGCTTCCCAAGGCTATAAATACTCGATTAATCCTCATTAATCAAGGGACCGAATAATTAACGGAACGGAGGAGAAACATTACGGAACACACTAATAACCGGCTGATCTCGCTAGCAAAGCAGATTACCTACATTAAATACTCTCACCTAGAGAGACCTTATTACTTTAATTTCTGTGTTAATTACTCCTTAATCAGGTACTAACTTGACCGTTGGAGGCGGAGCTCTCAGGAGTCTCCGTTATTTTGCAGGTACAGGCGTCCGGTTCCAGTCTCGGAATTGTAGCTCTCCCGCAGGACATCAGAAAACCCCAAAACAAAAGGTACAATTGCGCATGAAAAGAGGAGGGCAATTGAGTATTTATATTGTAAAACAAGGGTAACATTGTCCAAAATTAATGACTTAAAAAGGAAAGATTCAAAATGTAAAGAATAAAAAGGAACACCCAAAATGGAAACATAAAGAACATATAAGAAAGAATGAAGTACAATCGATTAGATTTTAAATAAGTAAAAATTGTCACCATTAATCCCAACTTTTCTCCATCCGCCAATATTAATCCTAACTTCAGTTTATTCACTATCACTCCCAACTTTGTACTGTATTAATTTTTATCACCCCCAAGTGACTTGAAACTGGTTGAAGAAGTAAACCATGTTGACTTGGGATTACTTGTACACATGTCGCAACCGGATTGGTTAAAAAGTAAAAATAAAAATAAATTATAAATTAAATATAAAAAATAAATAAAAAAAACAAAAACAAAACCACCCAACGACAGCCGCAACCACCCACGACCAGCCAACCCCCTTCCCCTTGAGCACCAACCACTGCCCCCTGCTCCACTTTCTCCACGGCTACAAGCGCACTAAAGCAGCAGCCCCATCCGTCTCTCTTTTCTCGCGCACCAAAACTGGAATTGACGGGGAAAGGAAGGTGGCTGGTCGGAATTCATGATGAAAGGTGGTCGAATTCAATGGGGATGGAAGGTGTCTGGTCGGAATTCGATATGAAAAGGAAATAATGGCAAAATCCGATGGGGAAGGGGACGAAAACGAATGGGGAAGGAGATGGAGCTGCGAAAACCGATGGAGAAGGGGGTGAAAATGGCGAGGAACTGGGGAAAGGAGAAGGTTGGAGGTCGGAGTTAGCAGCGGCTGCCAAAACGGCAGTGGCTTTCTCCTTGTCGGCGACAGCAGGGGCTGCTGCCTACCGTAGGTGGCAGGGCTGCCCGACCACCCTGCTGCTAGGTAAGGGTTGGTTTTTTTTTATTTAATTTAATTTTTTTAGACCTATGATGTGTGGAGACGTGTCTGATAACTTACAATATTAAGTTGGATGACCGGATGGGGGTGCTTATAATTAATAGGGTATAAATTTGGGAGTGATGAAAAATAAACGAAAGTTGGGATTAATCAAGGTAATTTTTCTTTTAATTAAATGATCCATTTAAAATTTGTTAAGTTGCCCAAATATTAGGTGAGTGGTGTTTAATTTGCTAAATTGGAATGGATTGGTATTTGTTGCACATGTGAATGTGATCGAGGAAAGATTAACCTTTGCAAGAAAAACAATAAGTAGTCAACAAATATTATAGAGAAATTTTTGAGCTTATTTGCATGGACCTAGCAGGTTTCTGATAACATGAATTTGTTTATAAATTCATAGGAATGTGTCAATATGACATAGTCTGATTAAGAATAAGAATAAAGTAGTGAGCTGCCAACAAGTACTGAATAACACATTTAAACCATTAATGAATCATTGTACAAATTTTTTTTTTTTTTTAAAAGTCCATGATAAATCCAAAAAACGACATGAATTGATTCATTAAGGTTACCCCTCTAACATCCATAACATTTTTTACTCCATCCCTTGTAGTCTTACCCTTAATGTGGACATATTTTTTCCCAAAATTATTCTTTTTAAAGTCATTTATAAATTCAATAACATTATTGTTATGTCTAATTAAACTTTTGAGTTTAGACTTTAAAATCGTTTAAACAAACGAGACATTACAGAGCCAGTAAGCTTATAAAAATGCATCGAATAAGCATATATTGGGAATCAGAAATTAGGAACATATACAAATTTATTTACCAAATAATGAGACAAAACAGTTGCCTACAAAAATCCCAACTTCTAATCGAAGTAATTTACAGAGGATAAAATGACAAAAATAGCCCCCTGTAAACAACGCCAAAATGTGCCCACTAGCTTCACGTGACTCTGACAACGCAAACATCAGAAGATACAAAGCAGAAGGTGAAGCAGAAGAAGCAGACAAATCAAGAGAGGGAAAATTTCTACTGAGAGAAAGTAATTAAGTTTATATTTTAAGGGTTACCCTAATAATAGTAACAAAAGGGTAAATACGTAAATTATGCCGAGGCGAAAGAAAAAAGAAATAGACGCCGGAGATGATGCGGATGAGTTGAATTTGTCAAATTGTAGCGAATCGACGGCCAGAGGCATGTTCTCTTGGTCAGGGCTGCACTTAGATTGGTGAGGGTGCGCGCTATACATGATTGCGCGCAGTACAGCCGAGACTGTTGGTATGTACAATGTTTTGTTACGCGCCAAAAGCCACGTCAAACTCATTAGTTGGCAATCTCTGTTGAACATTTTTGATGCTCTGCTAGTAGTACTGCCTCTTTTAACTTTTGTTCCGTTCTTGCCCCCGTCTTTTAACTGTAATCATGGACAATTATAACAATTTGTGATTAAAATTACCATGGAAAATAAACGATGGTTACTGAAAAATATAAAATAAATAAGCTCCATCATACAATTAAAAAATAATATTTCGACAGAAATTACAACTTTTTTTCAACAAGTTAAACAATTTGGATTTTATAAATTTGTGGTTTGGAGCTGCAAATGTGTTTACGTCCTATGAAAACAAATCTGGCATACTTTACTGTATTAGACTTTTTAACTTTAATTTTTACTCCCTCCATTTTTAAATACTTGCTCCATTTTTCCATACGCGGAGTTTTAGGAAAAATTGGAGAACGTAATAAAATATAGAGGTAGTGAGGTAGTTGAGAAAATAAAAAATTTTAAAAAGCTAAAGTATTGGAAGAATAGGAGGAGAGAAAGTATTATGTTGGGTCCATTAAGTGTGAAAAATGAATTAAATATTATAAAAACTTTTCATAAAACGAAATGGAGCAAGTATTTAAAAACGACCGGAAAAAAAAAGTGGAACAAATATTTAAAAACGGAGGGAATAAAAATGAAAACGACGTGTTTAGCGCTATATGTTTCATTGTTTTGTAGTACTACGTAGCCGAGTTTTTTTTTTTCCTTCTTTAAATAATCAAACCTTTTTTTTCTTTACGATAATTATCAAACTTTGTTTGTTTTTTTTAATGGAATGAAAATCAAACTAGAATGGCCTTCTGTTACATAATTATCAAACTTAAGGGGTGTTTAGTTCTCAAAACAATAATCAAACTTAAGGGGTGTTTGGTTCGTAGGTTCTAAGCATGAGGTATAGAGATGGAATGAATAAAACCCAAACCATTATGTGAACCAAACACCCCATATCTTATATACATACACTAAAAATAGAAACAATCTCAAGTGTCGAATGTCGATACCATTCACATAATCATAAACCCAAAACGTCACCTTAATCTTTCTATTTCTATGCTAAATTCTCCTTATAATCAGCCCAAAACGTCACCTTAATCTTTCTATTTCTATGCTAAATTCTCCTTATAGAGTACTAGTAGAGCTACAAGTAGTACTCCACTTTGAATTACATTTCTTCTTTCCTCGTTATACTTGAGACTTCTAGTCTAGTCTAAAATTAACAGTTCATTGATACATTGCACAATTCTCGTATATAGCAAATTTTATAAAATTTGAATAATTTATAGAAATGAGAAATATCAAATTAAAAATATTATAACGTAGGCCAGAAAATGTTGGCAATGCTGGATTGCTGGCACAACCTTAATCACATACAACTGTGTGTATTCCACCCATGTCCAATTATCTTCGAGAAACACAATTTGACAATGAAATGAAAACTGAAAGGCAAATTAGGAGTAAATTAAAGCAAAACTTCTTTTTTTTTTTTTTTCCAAAAATTCTAAATTCAGGCCATTACATAAACATGAGAAAAAGATTCATCCAGTACCCAAAACAACTTTATAAAATAAAGTCTCTTCTGCTACTAATACATATACCCTTTTTTGAAAAGTTGTAAGGTTATACAATAATTTCATATTTTATTTGGCAAAATAAAGCCAAAATTAAAATCACATTTAACCTATACTTAACTAGTTAAATTAAGGGAGAGAAAGCCCAAACTAGTTAAATTAAGGGATAACTTTTTGTAAAGTATACCAAATTTTGACATTGCTTTGGAGCTAGTTGAAAACGCATATTCACTTTTTTACTTTTAGCATTGACAATTGTTTCATTTCATTCGATGATTATCGTCCTAACCTTTTTTTCTTCATAATGCATTGAGAACCGAGATCCACACTATCACTAATATTACTCACTCAGTCACTCCGTTTCTAAATATTTTTCCAATTTGAACGGTAAATGTCTCATAAAAATGTTTCAAGATTGAAATCATTGAAGGGTAGTACATAATTACTTTCTATTTTCGACATTTATAGTCACTTAGAGTATTTCATAAGCTCTAAAAATAACTACAAAAAAAGTACTCCGTAATAAATAAAACATTCTAAAAAACCAAATTCATAAATAAAAATTGACAACAAATTAAAGTGAACATGAGATCCACGAGTGAGAAATTAATGAGAATTGGCATATATCATTTATTAAGGGGGGACAAATTAATAAAATAAATTCAAGAATGAAGATCAATAAATGAGGAAATGATTGGAGAATTTGAAGAAAATAACGAAAAAAAAAAAAATACCTTTTCAAGAGCACCAAGGCATTTAGTACACCCAGCATAAGTAGAATTACGACAGTTTTTCTCCAAATTCCTGACGCTAGCAGTAGGTGTCGCATTCCCATAATTCGCTGTCAAATTAAACGCAGCAGGACAACTTAACGACGCGATTTGATGAAGCCGAATACCACAAAAGCACAAAAAGGTGTCGCATGTGCTATTCGGCTGAGGAAGAGTGATGTTTCGTTTCGAAAGCGATGATTGAAGCGAGTTGACACATTTTTGGGAGTCGGATTCAGGCATCATGGGTAAAACAGAGTCCGAGTCAGGGGTAACGGGGGGTTGATCCGGGGGTAGTTCGAGAGCGGACCGAGCTTGAGCCGCGTACAGCCACGCGGCTAGAACCGGGCAGCAGCGGCTACGGTCTAGGTTGTGCCCACATGCTTCATTGACCCCACCGAAGAGCTCGTCAGAGAGGTCTAAGTGGCAGGTTTGTGAGTCGGTTTGGAGTGGGAATGCCGGGACGGTGTTTGGGGTGGTGGGGTAGTCGTCTGGTTTGGTGGGTTGGACTGGCTCGGAGAGTAGACCGGCTGAAGTGAGGTGGGGGTAAAAGAGGGTGAAGTATAAGATGAAAGGTATTATGACATAATGATGAAGAGAATCCATTGATGAGTTCTTTGGGAAAGAAGAAAGGAAGATTCAATGAGATACTTGATTGTTTAACTTTTTAAGGGATTGTTTGTTTGGAAGAGAAGGTGAAAAATGAGTGGGGTTAAGGAGAAACAAAGGGTAGATTTAAAGTCATAATATGTGGAAAAGAAAGTGTTTGCCAACCTTTATTTGCGTAAAAGATGACAGGAGAGAGAAAAAAGAGATGCCAGGAGAAGGTGAGGACGACGGGAAAAAGAGGATTAGGAAGAGGAAAAGTCGAAAAGAGGGGTATGGGGACTAGTGAAAAGATGTTCAAATGTTATGTTGTGCCTTGATCTTCATTCAATCATGCCCCACGGTCTAAATTCATGTTTAGGTGAAAAAGTTGATTATATTGTGTAAAGTGAATAATTATGGGATTAGAGACGTTAGATTCTTAAAACATTTCTCCTTGTCTTTACATATTGAGATAGTCACCTTTAACTTAATTGATTAGAAGTTGAAATTATATACTCCTACTGTTTAAAAATTATTAACACAATTTTCACTTTTTATCATGCTAGGGTTGCTCGGCGCGTGCGTTGCGTGTGAGGCAATGTGGTGTTGTTAGTGAGCACGGCCGGAAGTGTGGTTTTTTTAAGGCTAATATGTAGGCTTTTTTAATGTAATTATGAAATAAATGTAGATTTATGAGTGAATGTATATGGATAAATAGATTTAAACCAAAATAAGTGATTGTACATGTTTTTTTTAATGGAGTTAAATGCATAATATATGTATAAGGGTATAAACTAAGTTGGTTTACTAGAGTATTTATTGTGAACTATATACAGGTATACAATCTAATTTAGGGTCTGTTCACATTTACTGAGCTGAACTGAATTGAATTGAATTGATTGGAGCTGAACTGAACTGAACTGAACTGATTGGTTTGAACTGAACTGAATAGAGGTGAAATGAATATTTAATGAGAGAAGGAAATTAACAGCAGAATTGAACTAATTGGAGCTGAGCTGAACTGAACTGAAATTAAGTTAAAGTGAACAGACTCTTAGACGTGGTTGTAAGGGAACATTGGATAAAAGTTGAAGTTATTGACTCTTTGGTAAAAGATTGGGTTGTAAAGAGCAATCATTTTAAAATTGATTTAAGAGGCTTTCTAAACGAAGTGTTGCGAGATATTTAGTGTTGTCTCGCAGGGGCAAAGTTGTCTTTTGATATGTAATTTGAATTTGCCCAGCTGGTTATGCCGTTTCGAGGTAAAGTACTCCGTTACGAGGAAAGGGTGAGACGTCCTTTTCACTTATAGCTTTTCGTATATCCTCTCTCCTCTTTCCTGTCGTATTTTCTCTCTCCTCTCTGTTGTTCCAATTTTTCTCTTTCGACGAAATTGAAACTGTCAATCTTCTTTGATTTTTTTCGACAAAATCGTCCACCGACGAAGAGTTGCTGGATTCATAGGTTCTCCCCGTTGGGATCTCTGTCCACCTCCGTCAAAATTAAAGCGTGAGACGTCCATCTCCTTCAGGTATGTATTTTTTTGTGTGTTTGAAGAAATTTGAAATAGGGTTATACTTGTAGTCGAGGATTAGTTATTGTTTTGTGTTGTTTAAATGAAAGATTGGTTTATTTTGATGAATTCGAGTGTTTGGATGGTCGAATTTAGGGTTTCGGGGGTCGAATTTAGGGGTAAGGTTTTCCAAATTCTCGAATTTCAATTGGAAAGTGGGTTATAAATGTACAAATAAGGTAAAAATTGTGCTTAAAGTCGTTTGTGTTCCATTAAATGTTTGTCAATTGGGGAAATCGGGTTTGAAAATGGGACAAAATCAGTGTGTGTTGGTTTTTTTTTTTTTTGTTATTTTTAAGCGTACTGAGAACGTTTTGTTGAGTTTAATGGTTTAAGGCTTGGTATTTCTGTTTTGGCTTCGTATCCACATGAATGTGTGTATGGTTTGTCTGATTTAATATCATTGTAGTTATTGTTTTATGTTGTTGAAATCAAAGATTGTTTTTTTTTTTTTTTAATGAAATCGGGGGTTTGGGGCGGGGGGGGGGGGGTCAAATTTTGGGGTTAGGTTTTCCAAAATGTCGAATTTCAATTGGGAAGTGGGTTTTAATTGTACAAATTAGGTATAAATTGCAGTAAATTCGTTGCTTGAACTATAGCCTCAATAGTCTTTTTTTTTTGGAGCAAAACTTCACATATATTTCTAAGACAAAGGCATTAACCACCTTTCAATGTTGATTGGTATATAGCTGTTACAAAGTTCATTATTAACACCCCTAGCTTTTGCTAGAAGCCTCATCACAAACACCTGTTGGGGATTAAATCATCAGGCTGTAATTACTCATCATGACTTGTGCCCATGGAACATTAAAGAAAATGAAAATGTGAATGATTCTTACCATTAGGGCCAGAGATATTGAGGCAAGCCAACCTTAGCCCACAAGAGCAAAAGACTATTGAGGCAATAGTTCAAGCAAGGTAGGTTTTCCATTAAATTCAATTGAGGAAATGCGGTTTAAATTGGCACAAAATATGGGAAGGGTGGAACTGTTTTATTAATTATAAGGGTAGTGAGAATGTTTTTTGAGGTTAATGGTTTAATGCTTAGTTTTTGTGGTTTGGGTTTCGCTTCGTATCCATATGAATGTGTGTATGGCTTGTCTGCTTTACTGTCATTGTAGAAATAATGTCCACTTTATTTCTTGGTTTAATGGAATCTTTCATGGTTTATGGGTTCACTGCGTTTGGTTTGTTTTGTATGATTGGCATATTGTTTTAAGAATTATGTCATTAGTAGTAGTGCCTTTCTTGTATTTGTAATCAGTTATTTAGTTTTGGGTTTGTTATTTGTAATCAGTTATTTGTTGTTATGCCTTTCTTGTAAGATTCTTGTAAGGAGTTTTTATTGTGTTAGATGTTTATTTGAAATGATTAAGGTATATTCTGTTAGAAAGCTAATGTTTGGTTCCAAATTATGTGCAGACTCAGTGTAGTGATGAAGAAAAAATCAATTGTTCGGTCGATGAATCGGACAAAGTGGGGGGTGAGTATTTATTTGTTGTTGTTGTTGGTGTGATAGAATTTTAAAAGTGGAACTAATTTTTGTAAGATGATTTTCAGGGTCCATTAAAAAGAGAGTTACGCAAACCTGTGGGTTCGTCATTGAATCTGAAACCAGTGGGCCAATCGAAGAAAATGGGGATTGGTAAACGAAAGGGAAGAATTGATGGTGAAGACGAAGAACATGATGATCAAGAACATGATGATCAGGAATCTGAATATTCGAGCAATGAGGATTCTGATTCTAGTTCTGGAGGATTTATGAAGATGATGATTAAGGAGTACATGAAGAGAAAGAGTAAGAAGAGAAAAGGGAAGTCGGTGTGTGGAGTGGGGAATAAGAAGGTATGAAGATTTTTTAGTTGTGAAGGATACCATTATTTTGTATGTGAAAATTTGAAATGTGAGAATTTGTTGCTTTTCCTTGTAGGGTATTCAAACATAAGGACATAGAGTTATGGCCGATGGTGTAGTCCTACGGAAACATTATGATAACATTGGGAAGGTATGGTTTGGTAATAGGTTATGTTAATGTGATGTGCTTCGCTTTGGTAGGTTTTGGTTATCTTCTATTTTGAAATAGAGTAATGGAAGTAATGGTCATGTGGTTTGGTTTGGTTATCTTTGAATCTAGTATTTAGTTTTAAGTGAATTTGAAAAACAGTGATGGGAGTAATGCTAATATGTTTGCTTTGTTTTGCAGCAGCCCAATGTTGTTTGTCGAGTGGATAAGTTTTGTTATCTGGTCAAGAAGTTAGATCCGAAGAGACGGGAGCTGGTGGAAAGTATGGGCTTTGGGGGGTTGTTGCATTTGGATATGAAAAATATCCCGAGGCAGTTTTATTACTGGCTGATGAGTAGGGTCTTTGGTGATGGGACAGTTGTCTTTGGTGATGGATCAATTCTTCCGCTAGGGCCAAACCAAGTAAGATCCATTCTTGGGATTCCTATGGGAAGGAAGGAAGTTCCTCTTGTTCTTGGCGATGACGAAGACGACACCCAGAAGATTATGCGGGTGTTTCAACAATACGGTGTTGGTTTGAAGCGAGAAACGGTGTCTCTCAATCTTGCAGCTGCAGCCATGTGCCCTGAGCATGAAGATGGTACTCTGGTGGAGCTGGAGACAGAATTTGATGAAGAGGACTTTATGATAGCTTTCCCAATTGTTGCCCTAGGAATGATAGTCTACACGACGACAAACAGTTCAAACTTAGTTGCATCGTTGGTGCCCACATTGGTAGTTGCATCTGTAGCAGGAGAATATGATTGGTGCAAGTTCACAATTGACTGGGTGCGCGAATCCGCTGATCGATTTCAAACAAAGTTCCAGAAAGATGGATTCCGTTATGGCTGTGGTGGGAGCTTCGTGTTTCTTATGGTAAAGGTTACCCTAAGTTTTTGGTTTTTTAATGCTTTAAGAAAGTGTATGCTAATTAAAGTTAGTGGAAAATGCAGATTTTTTATTTGGATCACCTCCATCGTGTACCAAATAGGTGGGGTGTATACCCCAGGCTGAAGGTTTGGGATTCTGACCATTTAAAAGCAGTTATAGATGAAGATAGGAGGTCTGATGAAGAGTTTGGATTTTTTCCGGTGAGAGTGGACAAAAAAAGTTGTGATTAATCATTTATGATAGGTTGTTAAATTGGAAGTGAGATTGTTAATTGGTACTTGTGTAACAGGTTCTTGACATTGCGTATGGGGAGGACCATCCTTTGGTTCCACGTAATGATGGAGATCTCGAGCTGGTGCACATTAAAGTTGCAAATACTTCGGTGAATTCTATAGCGGATCAGGTAATTGCTTATACACCTTGTGATTTGTTTGGGTATGGTGCATAGGATTGTTTGAGCTTGCTGCCTTCTAAATAGGATTGTTTACTTTTTTGCCTTTGCTTGTTATTTATGTTAAATCAAAGAACACCATTTTTGAATCTTGTGTTCTTTTCCTTATATTATTGGATCAGAAATCAGGGTTAGTTATTGTTCTATAATTGGAGCAGCATTTAACCAAAACTAGTAGACCATAGAGTGAATTTATACATGAATCTTATTATGGTGGTGTTTTAGTCGTCCCAATGAAAAAATGGATGGTTTTTAGTTTGAAGAGTATTATGTTCACATCGACGTAACATTGTAAACATATTTTGGCTTGATATATTTTGTTGAATTATAACTTTCATGTGGTCATAATAAGTCAGTTATTAATACTTTTCCCTGTTATTTATGGTGGTTAGGTGCTTGCTCTATTAACTCATAGGCTTGTTAGTCTAGTGGAGGGCATAGTTGGTAAAGCATTAGGCAGTAGTTCAAAGGCTGGTCATCTTGATATGCACACTGTCAGCATGGGTAAAGGGAGTCAGCCCCATCTTAGTGGGAGTAGTAACAAGGGTGCAAAAGTGTTGAAAGCACCCCAAGAGAAGTGCCCAGCTGAAGAGAAGGAATCTTGTAATTCTAGCAATGGTGAAATTGCTGATACGATGACTCGGGAAACAGCTTATGATAAGCGGTTGGAGACCTTTGTGAAAGGATGGAAGGATTTGAAGGATGAAAAGAAGTATTTTTTTTTTTGTCTATCCTTTCTACTTTCTAGCGGTTTATGTTAGTGTTAATGTTAAAGTTACATGAAAATATTTGGTTTGTCCATTTAGATAGTCCACATTGTCCTTAATCAATCTTGTAGATTAAAAGATTTATAGCTTTCTCTAACATGGTTAAAAAACTTAACTGAGACATATAGACTATGTCCAATTTAATTGGTTGTGTTTGTAATGGCAAGGAGGGACCGTCCATCATAGAGTGTGATGGAATGAATGCTACACCGAGGGACTGTTATGGTGTTGTGGTTCCTCGAGCCCGTCTTGGGCGGCATCAATATGTGAGAATGACATCGATTTTGTACACAAAGTACTAGGGGACAGTTGAGTTTCTGAATCGGAGGAAACGGATTTTGATTGATCCTTCCTATGCAGTAAGTATATGATGTATGAGTTGTTTTACTTGTCATTATTGGCATTTACTAACATTCGTGAAACATTTAACTTGTGATTTATGCAGATGATGATTAAGGCTAAGGAAAAGGATTATGCGAATCTTGCAAGGAAGTATGGCAAGCCGTTGTTAACTATTCCAAATGATGATATTCCACTAATATCTACCTAACTTTTTGTATTTTATAATGTTGTTGATATTTTTATTCTCATTAAATTATAATTTACTAGTATTTTATAATGTACCTAACTTTTTGTATTTTATAATGTTTGTTGTGAAACAGGTGTTTTTCTCAGTGCTTAATGGATCGTCAGAGAACGGGGATGAACACTGGTGGTGCCTTCATTGATTTGGTGAAGAAGCAATTCTAGATGATTGATTCATTATATCCGGATCCTTATGAACAACATTCAGAGCTTGTTTCTGAAATGGTTAGTAACTTGGCCACCCCACTTTTTGTGTTTTAACATAATTTTCAGTATAATTTGAAAATGGTGAGATTTTAAAAGTTGTACCAATCGGCAGGTGAAGGCCATTGATGTTCTTTTCCAATTGAAAGATCTGTTGTAGGAGTTGGGGACTTGTGAGAAATGGCCCAAGCATGTGGTGGGCATGGTAAAGCAGACGGATACGTAAGTTTATTAATTGTCGCATATAATGTCATACTATATTTTGTTCAATTCAACTAACCACATCCTATTAATGTATAGTTTCTCCTATGGTGTGCTAATGCTTGGTTGCATTAAGCACTATGCCCGTAATTGTCCTGATACTAGTTACTCTCTGGTATGTTTATTGTTCAAGATGGCTGCTTTGCTATTTTGTCTAGAGAAGAAGTTGTATAACAATTTTTGAAAATATTTTGTGCAGGAGAAGAACTTGAAGAAGAGGTTGTTTTTGGAGGATGCAAACAATTCTTGCAACGAATTATTAGCAAAATTTGATGAAATTCTGCCCAAGGATCGAGTCCGGCCCAGAAGGACTGTGTCTTCTCAAAACACTTTGTAGTTTTGGTCACTTAGGTATTTTTAGGTGGTGGAATTATTAGCTAATCTAAGGGAAAACTGTTGGGGTATTTGTGGTGTTTTTGTGGTGGAATTTGAATTTTTAGGTGGTTATTTGTGTTGGTGTGTTAAACCAAACCAAGTGGTTGGTCTTTATGTGGCGATATTTTGTTGTAGACAATGCAGGTTGCTTAGACAATGACAATGCAGGTTGCTTAGACAGTTTGGTTGATAGAGTTAATTCAGAACACATAAGTTGGTAAGAAAAATAAGTAACATAGGGAACACATACAAGTCAGTTAATTAACTAGTAATTGATTTAAAACAAGTCCGGAAAATACATTCCCATAACTACATACACTCTCACAAGGTTGATTCAAATTTCATAAATTAAATCTAATTTTCATATAGCTTTAAACAATAATACAATTCTAATTCACTAATAGCTTTTGAAACACGAATTCATTTGTAACTTAATAATAGCTTTTGAAACACCAATTTAATTCTAACTTACTAATACCCATAAAAACAGTAATTCATTTCTAAGTTACTAATAGCTTTACAAACACTCATTAAATTCTAATTTACTAGTAGCTTTAACAACACCAGCCCCGAGCAATAAAAAAAACTCAAAACTAGACTCCGATGTCCACCCAACACCCTCAGCGAAGTCACTTTCCGCATTTGTCTCATACAAATGGAGTGCATGTTGTATGCGTCTAACATACTCAGGTGGGTAGTTATTGTAGGTGAATGGTTCGACATTAACAAGAGATAAGTTATCTATCTCATCAAATCCATTTTCAGACCACATTGGGCATCGAAATGCAATGCGCTGCTCGGGGTTGGTAATAATAGCCTCAGTTGGATCCTCTTGTGTGAATTTCAGCCATTGATATGTCACTTTGATTCCTTGTTCATTAGGTGTAGTGAACCTCTTACCAGCAAGGATAACTCCCCACTCATTCCCCTTGCCAATTTGCTCATCCACATCCAACCACCAATCCTCAAGGTATTGGAAAAACTCAAAGAAACGTTTGAGGTAGGTGTGGTAAAGTGGGTACGCATAACACTCAGCTAGAGATCTCCTTAAGGTTCTCAAGTTGAAAGAGATGGCTATCTTTGCACCATCGACCAAGTACCACATGAAACAAAAAGCCTCCTTACGAAAGTAACGTGCTCTACCAACCTTGAATAGAGTGAAAAAAGGGTAATTTGGATGGAAATCTATACCTTTGATCGGTTCTTCTAAGCCACCCCTTGCAATCGTGGCTAGTTGATGACATAACATCATACGGTAGCTGTGTTTAGGCATGTACATATCCCTAATTAAAGCATTCGGATCGTGCACCCCGGTTTTGTTGATCTTGGCCACCCTTCGTAATAGCTTCTTACGTTTTCGTTCCTCACGAGAATTAGCTGCATAACCAAAACAAAACATATATATTAGTACCACTGAAACATCATTTTTAACGTGTATGAATTTAAATTTACCAATTGACATATTTATAAGTGCCACTGCAATGCTATTTGTAACCAAATACTACTACATATGCCACATGTTGCACTTAGTATCATCAGAGGACCACTGACACAGTAGGATAGTCCTTCGTAGTACCTTTGTTGCCCATGAGGTGGATGTTGAACTTCTTTTTTACTTCCGGTTGTTTGTTATGAAATGTAATGGTAGTAACACTTGTAGTTGAATTATATATACCATGAGTTGTTGTGGAATTGAATACATCAAACCACCTTTAATATCACAATTAAAATTTGCTAGGGGATGGGACTTGTATTGAATTAGATAATTTACTTTTACAGTGTAGGTGTTCATTGTCACAGCTGTACGTACTTTACCTTGCAATTCACATATTAAAACCAACTACCCTTTACTTAAAAGTTGGTAAAATAAGATAGTAACAGATGAATAGTTAAAAGACGGAAGGATAACGTTGTAGTAGCAAATAAATAATTTATTATGTCATATGATGCAGCTAAATAGTACCCTAAATCACCTAAATGATTCTCTACAGCAGATGAGTGGTACTCCCTTTTATACCGTAGTTAACCATAATGGTAATATTAAAGGTACCCTACTTAACCATAAAGGTACCCTAGTTAACCTTAATGGTACCCAAGTTTACCTTTATGCTACTCTAGTTAACCATAATGGTAACATAGTTAACCATAATGGTACCCTAGTTTAACCTTAGTTAACACAGATGGTACCCTAGCTTACCTTGATGGTACCCTAGTTAACACAGATGGTACCTAAGCTTACCTTGATGGTACCCTAGTTAACACAGATGGTACCCTAGATAACCTTGATGGTACCCTAGTTAACACAGATGGTACCCTAGATAACCTTGATGGTACCCTAGTTAACATAGATGGTACCCTAACCTTGATGGTACCCTAGTTTACGTAGATGGTACCCTAGCTAACATAGATGGTACCCTAGATAACCTTGATGGTACCCTTGGCGACCTTGATGGTATTCTTGTTGACCTTGACGGTACCGAAAATAACCTTGATGATACCCTAGGTAACCTTGTTACACTAGAGCACTTGAAGACCTTCGTATGTGATGCGGAACGGGCATCGCCTCCGTTCTAGGGAGTTGTTTGTATTTTTAACTACTAGCCATTCGCGGTACCATGACTTGGAAGTGTTGTCATACTGGTTCGAAATGAACATCTTGTTCGCGACTTGTTGTTCCCATTTGTCTCCTAGTGATGCCTTAACTTCCCGACTTGAGGTGAAAGTTTTCAACATTCCGTTGTTGTTTTTGAAGAAATCGGTGACCTCATTAACCCCAACGAATGCAATGTTGTATGTAGCTGCTATGTGTTTCATCTTTGTTGCTATTGAAATTAATATTTGACCCCTCTCCATGAATCCTCTTGCAGTGTTGTCATGAGCATGCCTGAACCAATGTGCAATGGAGTCCAGTATAATAACCCTAGTGTGTCGGCATCCTTCGTGGGAGCTCAACACAATTTGTTCCACTTGGTTCAAAACAAAAAATATTTGATCTGGGTCGTCAATTTTTTTAACAAGGATCGATGACAAAGGATCTTCCCCCACAACCGACCCACAAAACTCTTGCTTAGGGCGCTTAATCGGTTAGATGGAAACACCGGGAAAGCTTGAATGTAAATTGATGACCCATACAAACCTTCCGGAGGCATGAGCATGCAAGTTAGGAGCAACTGAAAACATATTTGTGTTTTTCCCACCCCACTTTCCCTATATATTTCAGCTAATTCGCCCCGTTTGTATTCCACCATCTAAAATAAAATCTATGATCTCGCATTTGGTTTTTATTTTAGGTTTCATTTTCAGAAGAAGGGTGTTGTGTTGTGGTTGATAAATGGTAAAACCTATATTTATAATATATTTCGGATAACGCACCTTCTTTTTAGATTGTAAGAAGGATTAGATTTGTATAGACTACAAGAGGATTACATTATCAACTAGTACACCCGAGGCGGTAACATTATCCGATATCGACCGTAACATTATCCGATTCAATTTTGGACTCTAACATTATCCGATACAAATTTGGACTTGCATGGACATAAAAAGTTGGAGTAACTAGAGGAAGTAAACTTTAATAATGAAATACATGAATGTTGTACAATTTCCAATTCATTTTCCTTGAGCCAAGTGAATTGTGTTGTCATGTTAGTTGACCTGAAATTTTTGTAGTTGGACTATTCTGGCACACAGTAACACCTAAGGGTAAATGGTAGCTCCACTCTGTAAAAGCACACAATAACAAAATTTTACCATGATATGTTTATTTTATTATATGACTATCTTTCATTTACTGTGTTTGTTTGATTTTTCTTCTCCTCTTACGACATTAATAAATAAAAAGTTAACACCTTATAAAAATATTTTAAAAAGTACATATTAAAAGCAAGTCTGCTAGGGTGATGAATTGTCAAATCAAATACTGATTTTGTTGTCAGATTGGGCAGAATGCTTGTTGAATTTAACAAAGTGGATTCACAATAGTGGGATTGTTTACTACTTCTTTTGAATTTTGTCGTTTGCTCTGTGAAGCACTCTACTTCAAAACACTCTCATCCAAACAAAATTCATCCACCGTACACCCCTGTAGCCATGTCCACTCGCCTCTATAGCATACGCAACGTTTGGGGTTGGCTAATGCAGCCACACCCAACTGAACCCATCATGTACTTCAGCCCTTTCATAACCTCACTTGAACCCGAGCTCAATTTCAACAACCTAAACTACTATGCTGGGGAAGATTACTTCCTTAACATGGACCTGATACCGCTGAACATCGTTCGGGAGCAACTAATTAAATCTCTTGATGATGAGACAACAACCTTCATCCCCAACAACATTATGGAGGTGAGTGACTTCGATGTACGGGCTGCTTACTATCCTACTTTGTCCGACCTAGAAGGATACCTCCACAAGGGTGTCCCGGCGTTCGCACGGTGGCTATGTCAAAAATCAATGGATGTGGTGGGTTCTCCCTTCATACCCTTGGAGTTGATCCCTGTCTTCGACCGTAAGCTAATTGTGATGACCGACCATCTTCCTATCTACACCATTCCTCTTGATGAAAAGCAAATATTCATAGGGTCTAAGAGTGTTGCAATTCATGTAATTAAAGTCAATGTTAACATTACATTGGTTAGTTTTAATGTTTTCACTTGTAAAACATCCTTAAGAGGAATTAAGTACCACCGTATCTCTGTGTGTGGCTCGAAGGAAGACATTCCGGGCGCTCCATATTTTCCAAGAGGTGCTACATTTATTGTGTGAAATGCTAGAAATGTCAACCGTCCATCTTTCAAAGAAACTTTCAATAAGCTATACAATGCTTTTTCCCCGGAAGTTTTGGTCATGACGACAGCCAGAGCTGACGCTGCTTTGCTGGGGTACGTGAAAGATGCCCTTCAAGGGGTGTACTCGGTTGATGGTTTCGGGTTGGTAAATGGGTACTACGGTGTGCTTGTAATTTGGCAAAAATCCGATGTTTATCCCTAGGTGACTTACAGGGGTGAGGCTATGTACGACCAACAAATGGGTGTCGATTTTCAGGTATTAAGTAGTTAGTTTCACTTATTATTTAACAATACTTGTTTTGAATAATTAATGGGTTTTATGTCTCACATCATAATAGTGAAGTAGCATTTGTTTTAATCAATAATTGTCATTGTACTAGCCAAGGCCGAAATTCCTTCCAAGCCCCAATCGACTCCACCCTGCATCAACTTGGTACAAAGACAGAGGGGGGAATGATGATGGAGCTGTGAATTCAGACAACGATCACTTGTTTATGTAGGATAACGCAAGTGTTGCGGGATTAAGCTATTATGTTATGTTACTATGTTATGTATTATTTGTGGGATGCGGAACTATGTTTAAGCTCTTTATTTAAGCTACTATGTTTGTACTATGTTTAAGCTTCATTATATATGTCATTATTATGGAACACAATATTAATGTGTTATGTTTAAATTACTATTATATGAGGCAGAATTAGAATTTATTGATTTCAAAAGTGAACCACAACCATGTTTTTAAAACCATTTGATGTAGCAAAATTTCTAAAATTTTTATAAGACATATATCATAGATGTATCAAAAATATTTTTCAACTTAGCATACACATTATTTATAAAATTTTGTTCAAATTTGAACCACAACAAAGTCAAATACAACTAACACATTATTTATAAAATTTATATTTCAAATTAACAAATGAACTACCATAGCAGCCACAAAGGCCAATATTACATATTTCATAGTAGCAAATTTTTTTTCAAGTACATCAATCCTCTTCCAAATCTCCATTAAACCATTGTTGGTGGTGCTTCTAATTATACCCTCCTCCCTTGCCCATTTCCAAAAAGAACAAGACCTGCACTTGTAGTATGGTCGTCTTGGATTAGCCTCGGATAATGAAATACGGAACTCTGAAATTGCTTGACCCCCGCAGTTGCAACGTTTAGCAGCCACCCAAACGATGTCGCCGGAACCAATTACAAAATTGGTTTCACGGCCAACTGAAGAGGATGTGTTCAAAGACATGTTTTTTGTATATCCAAAGTCAGTGTATTCCTTTTAGTAACTCAATAGGATATGTGTATTCATAAGCAAAGGGAAATGAAAGAGTTTTTAAGTCCTAAAATAATTTTCGCGGTGAAAACACCAAAAATTGGCGCTTCTCCAAAAGAATATGGGCCTGGGAATTACATGGGCTTCAAATGGTCTAATTACCTATATCTTTTATTAAACTGTAATCAGTATAAGTACCACTGGAGAACAAACTAAAAGTTCATTTATACAAAACAATATCATAATGCGACTCTAAGCACATGTCAGTTCAACAGGACAAATTTTCAATGGTACATAATACAATAATGTCATAACGACATTTGTACATGTTTTATTTTCAATGGTACAAAAGACAAACTTAATTGGACGTTTATTTGATGGATAATTAACATTATATAATTATCCATAAGAACAATAACCACACAATAACCCCACCCACCCCCCTTCGGAAAAAAAAAACCAACATAAAATTTGTATAAAACTTTGTAACCACCGTAAAATTGAGGACCATCATTGTAGTTCTTTACAAACATACAAAGAACAAGGTGTATCCAAATGCTGTCGGTGAGAATATTACAATGTACTTATTTACAAGATTACAATATCATCTTTTGTATTTTCATGCTATCGTCATCATAAATGGTTGTTGTAGTGTTTAGTAACCCTTATGTTAGTATAATTAATACAAAAATTAATACAAACAATAATTAATACAAAAAATACATGTTTCATGTAATGGTTTTCCTCTTAAAAAATTGAGTGTACCCTAAAAACAATTAGTGGTACCCTAATATATACGAAAGGAACATTTGTTTGACTCAAAGGTAACCCTTCAATAACAGTTGTTAACACCAGTGCATCAATTATTGGTACCAGTGTCATGGTTACGTACCACAACAGTAGGTTTATCCAAGTGTTACCCTACAAACTTTTAAATGTACCCTAAATAAATACAGTGGAATATTTATGGTGAATACAAGTATACAATTACTTCCTCTGTGTCTATTTCTCTAGTTTCAGTTGTACTCTAAACCAAAATATAAATTGACGTCTCAAAATAATAGAACTATTCAAAACCATTTTTTAATTTAGGGTTCCAACGTAATTTAATAATTTTTCCTATGCAGTCAACAATGACAATGTATCATAAGTAGGACAAAAGAAATATATGTATTTGTGGAACAAACCACAAGATATACTTTACTGTCATTGATTACGTATTAAGTTCATGTGATGTTGAAAGACAATCATGTATTACTTTGATAATCAAAGTTATGTGTCTTTCATCTTTGACAATCATGTCGGTGTCGATAGTGTTAAGGAATGATGACACATCACTTACCCCATAATGAAATCATTATACAATTATTTTACTAAATTATCATCCACAATTTTATTTTCCCTACATTTTCATCTTACAAATATGATGATACCCTAGGTGGAGAAAAAGGTACCCTTATGTATGTCAATCATACCTTAATTAAAAGTACATAACAATTAGTCCACCAAATGATGGTTCCAGTACTACGGTTACTAACTTCAATAGTACTATGTACAATTAGTACCCTACCAAAATACAGGAGAACCTTAATAAAGTTCAGTGGTACTAAGATACGGAATGTTACAATGTAAGTCCATCAAAATGAATACTTCAACTTAAGCCCTTTTGTACTCATATATGTTAGTAGTTAACAAATGAACATTTCAATTGTTTAGTAAAAATTTTAAGAGGTTAGATTGGACATTTTCGCAGTTCAATGGAACAATGGTGTCCATTGAAGTGAATACTACAAAGGTTGACTGTTCAGTTGAACCTTTAACGCTTTTGGAGGAAGAAGAGAGTAGTACAGTTGAACCTGACATTCTTATGATACCATTGTTCCAGTTGATGCTTTTAGCAGTACAGTTGGACCTTCCTTGGATAGCATTGTTCCAGTTGAACAAGTTAGTAGTAAAGTTGAACATGTTACTAGTACCTTTGAACACTTTTTGTGCAACAAGAGTCTTAGGTCGGAAAAGTCCTTTAACAAAAACATATAAACATACAAAAACATCTCCTGCTACTAATCTCATCATGTTTTCAATCATATACTTTGTATGATTCAACTTTAGCCATACAACGTTAAAAAATAATAAAATTTAAAATTAGTCTCACAACTACTGTTTCACAATTCAACTTGCATTAGAAATCATGTATACACCATCGTTCAACTTGCTTCAATCTCACAACTACTGTTTCACAATTCATAAATGCACTTATACAATAATTCATAGGTTTCGACTTATATACAATAATTCAGAGGTTTCCATTTATAGCCATGCAGAGAAATAATAATTATATATTTTCATATTTAATATAATCCATTACTATATACTTCCATTTTCCGGGTAAGGAACTGAAATAATTATCCAATGTAAGGAAATAAATCATCAATATCTGTAATGAACCTATTCCAACATTAAGTTTTCCATTATATCAAAATATTTAAATTTTCTTTACAAAAAATGCCAACACATATACCCACCAGCATACTCACAAGTTGTCAAAATATGCAAGTCAGAATTTCTTTACAAAAAATAGACCTGAAGGAAGACCATTTTCCCACAACATAAAGCCCAACTAAAATAACAGGCTTTTCAATTCACTTCAGGTGGCTGTTAGACAACTAACTCTACCCACATCCCAGCAATTCTACACAAAAAGGGTAGGGGTCATTGCTAAAAGCTACTGTGTACTGTTGTTAGACCGACCAAGGTGCGGAGTTTCACTCACACTTCCAGGAGTTGCGCGATTTGCAGGCCTCATCTAGTACGGGAACTGAGACACGGCCGTATTAGGCGACATATAACCATCCATTTGCATCGGAAATCCCTGCATTTGACAGAACTGTTGGAACGCCATATAATATGGGGGAAAAGGGGCCTTTGAGTTGGAGAAACAGCAGCCCCAACAGAAAGAGGACGCCGAACTCCAGACAACGAAGTGAAGTAGCCCAAAGAACCCATCCCCATCTGTCATTTGAATGCCTCCAACACAATGTGGACTAAAACCCATCATATGAAATGAATGTTGTTCCTAAGTACATAATGAATAACGAATCAATAACACATACACCTTCTAATTTCAACTTACATAAATTTATGAGTTTATTACCTGTGGAAAAGAGGATTGTGGGTTGTTAAGACTACCCACTGCAGCGGCTGTGGCTTGTTTCTTCCTACCCGATTTCTTCGATTTTTCAACACAAGTCTTGTACCTCAAATCTATAGTACGATGAGGAGGTTTCTTCGGAATTGGCGAGTCCTTTATGGTAGCAAGTTGTAGAGACAGGTCCTTCGCACAACTGCCTTGCTTTTCAGTAGTAGGTGGTGTAGCGTCCTTTTCCAAACACATAAAGGATGGTGTCCCATTACACCCCATAAGATCAGATCTATTCCGGGTCAGCATGGACAGTTTCTCTTCAATTTGGATATCAAGCAACTGTAGACCGTTTAACACAACATCAGAGGCACTCTTGCAAATCGATGCCTTAGAACAAATAGGAGAAAACTTCACCATTATCTTATCAAATCTACACACCGCCTCCGTCTTACTCGGATCATGGTACTTCACTTTCACTCTAGTGTGCTTCCTAATAAAATCTTTCCGCCAACAACGTAGGATGTACTTGTCGGGAATTTTTGTACAGTCGTTAATTTGGTACACCATAATCATATGGCAAAACATGATACCATGACAATGAAAGCACCTGCATTCACAATCTGCTTCTTTTGTGCTTCTGTTGTATATAACCTTGTACACCCGTTTCCTCTGGGAGGGAACTTCTTTTCTTGAATTCTTTGGTTTGAACCAAACAATATCCTCGAGAACATGTTCTATCATTGTGTCAGATAATTGCCTCTTCTCCAGACCCGTCACATATAACAACCTACTACATTCCCTTTGGACTTCTTTGAATTTGGCATCGGTATAAATTTTGCAAAACACAGACTCGGCTGGGAAGGCTGTCATGGGTTGCCTAAAAAATCTGGAATTGTTTTCATCGGCTCTTTTCTCACTAATAGCTCTAACCTCCAGAGCTTCACAATATCTCTCCACAAATTCACAAAGCAATGTATGTCTGCTCAAATAACCATTGAAGAAACTATGTATTCTCTCAACCCTTTGGGTTGTTTTCATGACGGCCCAAAACAGATGCTTCACGAAAGCAGGTATCCACATATCACATTCAACATACAGGCCTAAAAACAGAAGGTAAAAGGCCAAAACCAGAAGGTAAAAATTGCATACGATAAACAGTAGAAAAATTAGGGTATAATTTGCAAAATGCATCAACATATCAGGTCCTGTTCCAGAATTATATCACAATTACAACCATAAATGAAATTTTACCAAATTAACACCATGAATGATGATTCAAAGACAACAAAAACAGAGGTGTACGGTACAAAACTGAAATTACCACAAAAATCATCAACCACAAAAATCATAACCTCATACCAGATAAAATCCATGTTATAGTAAGCCATTCAATATCAACCTACTTCAACCATACTGAAATTTAAAAATATTAAATGTTAATATGGATAATGGATAAATAACCATTTAAGTTCCTTCATATGGATACATAACCATTTAGCATGTTAAGATGGATACATAACCATTTAATTATATTATGTAACATAATTGACATGAATTGTGGCCTTTACTCATTTAGCTACTACTACTTAATGGAGTTGTTATAAACAATGACAAAATTGAAGGAAGAGAGGTGGCACCTACCCTGAACTATTGGTAGACAGCAATATTATGATAACAAATCAGAAAGTCGATTTATTGGACTATTACTTATTCGTGATCTCTTTCTGCAATATTTGTTATATACTTCACATTTGTCTGATAAGTATTTGCCTAATTTTAGCCTCTCAATATTTACAACATGAGTTACTTCATTGTAGTCATTAATATTTAAGAATTTATAATAAATAGTAAAATCACACAAAAAATTAAGATTTTATACCAACCATCTAACCTTCCAGCCACTCGTCCATTTCACATTTGTGTTTCTTGATCACTTCTTGCCACCGTCTTTCAAACTCTTCACAATCCAAACTATCATACACAACACTCTCTAACTCTTCCTTCAACCCAGGATATTTCGGATGCTTTCCTAGTTTTGTAGAAATTTTTTGCAAAATATGCCAAATACACCATCTGTGTGTAGTCCCTTTCATTGTAGTCTTAAGCGCTTTCCTCATGAAAGGGTCCTGATCTGTAAGTATTGCAACAGGGGTTTTGTTCTCCATACAACGCAACCAATTGCTAAACACCCACTCAAAGGTCTCAGCGGTCTCTCTACTGACAAGCGCGCATCCAAAAAGAATGGTTTGGCCATGATGGTTAACTCCCACAAAGTTGCAAACCGGTAACTTGTACTCGTTAGTCAAGTAGGTGGAGTAAAAACAAACTACATCGCCAAACTCCTCGTATGCCATGCGACACCTTGCATCTACCCAAAGTACATCCTTCAACCTACCCTCTTCATCCACTCGATATGTGTAAAAAAAATTTGGGTTATCTTCAACCATACTTTGGAAATAGGTAAACATTGCTTTAGCATCACCTTCTTCAAATATTTTTTTTTCTTCTGCTTCGCCACTTCTTCATGTAGATCTTTCTGGGCAAAAGGCATGTTCTCCAACCCATTACGCTCCCTGACCATTTTTTTTATAGATTTTTGCCACGGGAACCCCGCATCTCGTTTCGTTGAAAAGCTGCCTGACAACATGAGGATTCTCAACAAAAAACTTTTTCCTCAACCTACTAATATTCTTAGCCTTCTCTGGAGTGGGGGTGTGTCCAACATGCTTCATATGTGCCCTTTGAACAACCCATTCACCACGTTCATTAACATTTGCATACACATTCACAAGACATTGAACTTTCTTACTCCTCTTCACACCGACCGCTTCATCCTCAACAATCTGAGCATCAGTCACTAACTTATCCTCCACCTTCCTCCGCTTCCTATTAGGCAACCCAAAGCACTCACACGTCCACAAACAATTCCTTCTCATTTTTGCGTTAGCCCATTTCCCTACTTTACAAGCACTTGTACGAACTACCCCAAATCCATTTTGCTTCCCATATACCCTAAAATATTCATCAAGTTCCTGCCATGACTGGAAGACCATCCCAATTGAAGGAGGAGGAAGACCAACTTCTACTTCAACATACTTCTCTATCTCAACAGATATTGCAACACTACTAAAGCCTTTCTTGGGAGTCTTATAAGACTCTTCACCAATCACAACCTTTCATTGAAATACCCAAATAATTGAAAACAATTAAAATTAACAACAAACACAATTAATTGATTACCATACACATATACCAGAGAACTACATCAAATACATCTAACATACCCAAACAAAACATACAAAATGCTAATACCCAAATGACAACCCACCTCTACCAGTTTCAATTTTCCATTTTTATTGTCAATTCCAAATTCAATTTTACATTCCTATACAACCCTATATTGAATTTCTTCCAAATTCTGACTAATTTTTAATTAGACTAACACAACATTAACAATAATTCACATTTCTTATCAAACTTTGGTTAGCTCAATTACAATGTTCGACTACAATCAATAAATTATAAATTTTTAGAATACATTAAAAAAAACCCTAATATTTCAAAAATTAATTTCAGACTAAAATGCCCATATACTGTTAGTAATTAAATTCTTACCCCTTTCATCAGCTCCCTTAAAGCAGCACCGTCGCACGACTCTTCGAACTGACCTCCACCTACACCGCCACCTCCATCATTCACCACCTCCAGGCCATCATCGCCGGTGTTACTAACGACACTGTCGTCGTCAGTTACACCATCCATTGTATTAATTCGATAGAATAAACAATTGTTTTTTTTGGTGCTCTCACGACTTTTTCCCTCTGCAATGGTGTTATCAAATATAACAGAAGGAAGAAGAAAGCTGAGTTTTTTGCTTTTCCAAATACTGAAGTTGAAGTACACTTTTCTTTTTTGATGAAGAAGTAGAAGTACACTTTCTCTTTGAGTTGTCACTTTCTTTCCTTCTTTCAATTGGGACCACTTTTACTATTCCGTTAACTTTTCCCTCCAAATACCAGCCCCGTTTTACTTTATTTTCCACTTAATTGCAAAATTGCCATTGTGAGACATCTTTAACTTGTCTCACAATCCTGGGTTTTTACTTCCTCTTGATTTAAAGGCCTAAAATGTCAATGTGTCTTAAAAATGGTTTGTGCTATTGTGATCACATTTTTGGCCCTTTATCACATTATAATTGGCAAATGTAAGTACTTTATACTCATTCTTTTCAATCAAAAGTTCTACCCTGTATATATACTTATTAATTTCAATTAATTAAAACTGATATTTATAAAACATGCATATTTTGTCTTTCTTAGTCCCTATAGAGTGAGTAGTATTTCTTTGCTTATTTTCTCACTTGTAGATTTGAATGAGTAAAAGTTTATGAAATTGCTAATCTATTAATTATTACTAAAACAAAACACGCTGACATCATTAAAGGACACTTGTCAATTTCTTATGAAATTTTTTCCCACCAAAAGTAATTTTGACATCATCATTTTTTTTTCTCCTAAGTTCTAAAACTAAAAAATTACAATATTTCTTACAAAATTAATAAATAAGATTATGATTACACTTTTTTTTTTTAATCCTTCACCAAAAAAAAAAATTGGAGTACACTTTTTTAATAAAGAATATTGACAACTATTTTAAACAAATAACATCTATTTAAACCGTGCAATGCATGGGATTAATCTAGTTAGTTTTATAAAGTGTTATAGTATTGCAAATGACCCTTTATAATTGTAATTCTTGTAATTAACGCTTTTTTATTATTTTTTTTACAAAACTATGTATCTTTGCAGGGGTGGTTGAGATTTGAGCTTTGAGGAAAAATTATTGCATTTTTTGATGAGCGTCATTAACGAAAATTGTAATTTGTAGCATATTCTCAAGTGTAATACAGATTTTCATTAGCAAAAATTGTTTAGATATGATTTTTTTTTTTTAATTTATATATATAGTTGTTCACTTGTTCTTGTTCCACAACATTTACTAACTCAATGTGAAAATAACATACTTTGTTGTTAAGCATAAGATTCAAATGTCCTCAACAATCTAAGCTAACAATTCTTATTGACTTATTGTATGTATATTATGAAAATCAATCCCATGCCAATTTTAGTTTTAATAAATGTGAATAATGATTATTTCTTGAAAGTTGTTAAATATTACCAACAAGACTTAAATTAAGAGTTTTTTTTTTACTAGTTGTCCCATCACGCGCAGGCGCGCGATCGGCCAATATTGAATTTATCAGGTGTCGATAGTGTTCATAGGATTCCTCGGCTAAAGCTTTATTTCGGTATTTTATTTTTGTGAAACAAATGATAGATTTTAGTTTTTGTAAAGTTGAGTTGAATATGGAAAAATTTGGAATGATTCAAATTCAAATTCAAAATGGGAAATATCGGGTGTTGATATCAAAGTTCATACTATAGCACTTGTTAGGAATATATGAAAGTAAATTATTGTTGGAAATCATTCAAGCATTCTTAAGTTTTTGGTTTATTAACTTATAGATCATGCATTCTCAACGCTTGAATGTTTACACAAAATACAGTAAGCTGCAAATAAATAAGTCAGACACGAGAATGCTAAATCAAGGAACTTTATTATACCTTAAACGATAAATACTCGAGTTATAGGAATACATATGAAGCAATTACAGAGGCTAAAATGAAAAATCAACCTGCTAAAGATAAACCTCTTCTCTACTTATCATATTCCTAATAACAGTTGCACTTATGCAACAACAACAAACTAAAACGTTTTACATTATTAGCTCTTGTGCCAACAGAATACCACATAAACTAAATTTCAATTCCCACTATACAGGAACAAGGTTAGACCAACATTTCGTAATCTATCTTTCTATTAGTATTTCCTACCCTGAATCCCATGCGGAGGACCATTAACTGTTTCTGAACTTTGTTCTGCCTCAGATTGCTTAGCCTGTTCGCGACGATGCTGGCCATCCATCCTAGCAGCATTAACAACGGCCTGAAGTTCTTCCATCCTTCTACCTGTCTGCAGAATATCTTCATCCAACTGCAGCATCGACCTTTGCAATGTAGCCATTTCTTACCCCAATTCACTCTTCCGAGATCGCAAATTCTTTAAACGACGACGTAGCAAAGGTATCTGCATCCAGCATCCAGGTGGCCAAATGTGAAAAAGGAACATTTGTAGGCACTTTAGATGATAAAGATGACCTGTCAATCCTGCTTTCCATTCTAAAATTGAACAAACCTTTGAGTAGGTTAGTATATAGAGAAACACGAAATTATAAATTTAAAATTTTTCCAGGAATTCAAAAAATGACCACAGTCAAATTACAATGACCTAGGCTTTTATAGAGTTCTTAACATTCATTATTATGCATTTCATACATATACAAAAACAATACAACATTACATAGGAAATATAAACACAAGCTATAGCAGTCTTGCTGTAATTAATATTCCATTCCATCTTTATTCTGTACAACAAATATAGCCTAGAATTGTACCTCTTGACATGCAATTATACATTGTGATTCCTTCCTTTTGAAAACAAGCACAGTAAATACTTCTGGTACAAAGCACCTGCTCCTACTTAGCTAACTGGATAAGCACGTGGAATACACAGAATGTGCCATAGAACCCAAGATTCACTGCATTATATCCTTGAACTTTGTACAAAGTCCAAAACTTCAGAACTCCTAAGACCAAACTATATTTAGACGAATGTAGTAAGAAACCAAAAGGCAAATATAAGACCCATATAATTAGTCACACATTAACTATAAACAAGAAAAGGAATGTATAGACAAAAATGGGACACAATTAACAAGCTACTTCAACATGAAATGAATACTCTACATTAAAAGATTTATAAAGTGTCTTCTTAAACCAAGACTAACCTTTTCCTAAAACCATAAACAACATAACTTCTGCTATCATTATTGTACAATATAGTGTTCAAGACAAAATTGGTCCCATTATTAACCTGAATTCCGTTTAAATTCAAAATGGAAAATTTCGGGTGTTGATATCAAAAGTTCATACTATAGCAATGTATTGTATTTTTGGGAAATGTTAAAATATTATTATTTATAAGTTTATAGTATATAATTTTCTTATAATTATTTTTTTTCGCTTTATTTGTGTTTTTAATGTAGGTATAATCGTGGAACTTAAGGTGAACGAATTCTTTTATTGCGTTCCTATGGTCTGGAATTTAAAGTTATTAATGAGAAGGATCTTGATGTTGAAATTGTTATTCATGACTTTTGATACGATGTTTAATTTGTTTTTTCAATTGATTTGAAGTTGAATGAGGATATAGTAAAGAAGTGAGGTAGACATTTTAGTTTAACTGAATTGGTTTAAGATGTTGTACCAATTAAAGTATTAGATGTTAGAAAGGTGTGTTATTATTTATTTAAAATATTGGGTATCGATAGTCCAAAGTATTTAAAAGT